GCTTTTCCAAACCACCGGTCGTTCCACAGTTAAAAGACTGGGTTTGCTACTTCGGTAAAGTGTTGAGTCTCAGAAACTTACAGAGACTGTCCTGTATCAAACAGTAAATTTGGCTTGGTTTGGTTTTTATCTGAATAAGACACAATCATGAAATAAAAATCTTTCTTTTTTGAGAGATTGTTAGTATTTATCCCTATTGCATGCATCAGACATAATTTATGACTGAGGTTGTGTGCATTCTGTGTTTGTGAGACTATCCTGAACAGTATTTGGCACACCACTTGCCTTCTATGAATGTTAACTATTATTATCGGGTCCAATATTGAAATAACATCATTTCAGTAATAGAGTCATTTTGTTGTTGATGTTTTTATCATTGATCTTCTTAATTATCATGGTAAGAATTATGTAATTTAAAAAGCATTAAGTGCCACTGTATTTCTTACCAAAATGCAGACAGTGATCCCACCATATCTTCAGGCTCCACATTTGTGCCTTCAACAAACCACAGATCAATAATCTTTGGTGAAAAAAATTAAGAGTCAATTTCTCAAAGGCTTAGAGGAAGAATGTGGGTGAAGGGAGACAGCGGTTGGTGTAAGATATGAATATAATAATAATGTATAAGTTATCAAGGGTTCAAGAGGAAAGGAGGGTATAGGAGGGAAGGAAGGAAATAAATGAGGACCTGATTCCAAGGGCTCAAGTAGAAACAAAATATTTTGAAAACAATTATGGTAATATATGTACAAATGTGCTTGACACAATGGCTATATGGATTGTTTTAAGAGCTGTAATAGCCCCCATTAAATTTTTTTAAAGGAAGCCTACTTGAAAATAACTACACAACAATATCATTAATATGCTATGCAACTAAAGTTTTGCTAAAGCTAATTCAAGGACAGTTGCAGCAGAACTTTGGCAAGGAACTGCCCAAAATTATATGTATATTCAGAAGATGCGGAGCGAGTGATAACATTGTTGATGTTAGACGGACCTTGGCTGAAAACAAACAATATTAGGGGGAAAAGTGCTATTTCCATGTCACTTACATTGTGCCAGGTAATATAAGTCATGTAGAGATGATTTAAAAGTATATGGGGGGATTGGTATAGGTTGCATATAAATACTACCCCCCTTTACTTTGGCACAGCCAAAGGTTTTGGTATCCACAGGGATCCTGGAACCAATGCCCCTAAGATAATAAGAGACAACTGTAGATTTTTTTCCTTTCATTTTGAAAGTTCCAGAAAGGTTATTCAAAAATAAAATGGCAATAGGAAACATAGCCACCATGATTATGTTCTTGATAGTGTTCATGGCGTTTATGTTTTATTATGTGTAGTTATTGTGACTGTGTTAAAATTAGTATTATAATAATTCTGTGCTTTCTCTAACACAGAATTTGAATTTATTTTGTTATTGATTTTTTTTGCTTTGTTTGGCCAAGTTTAAGTTTATCATTACATTTTACATATATATTACTAGGCACTTCAACTTGGTATAGTCTCTTAAAATCTGAAAAAGTTATGCAGCTTTTCTAGGTCCAAGTCTAATACATAAATTGAAATAAAATTCTAACCCATCTCAAGAGATATTTGTAACTATTAATCTGGTTAATGGATATAAAACATATAAAGCAATGCCTGAAATAGGGAAATATAAGGACTACCTGTGATAAAACGAAACTGAATTCACTGCTATAGAGTCAAGTCTTACTCATGGTGACCTAAATAATGCCAATGGATCCGCTCAGATTGCTCAATGTTCTCAATTCAAACATTCCCTTATTCCAAGGAGGAAATAAATTCAAAACCTAGAAAAAGTAGTTCGAATTAGGATTTTGCATCTTCCCCACATTAGTCTTATACCAGTAGGTAGCATATAATATGCAGAAAGTCTCCAGCCACGAAAGGAGCAGAGGTCTGAGGTGGAAGATCAATAGAAGCAGACAGTAATGTCAGAAGGCATGACCTTTATTCTCCTTGCACT